ACATAGCTTTCCAGGAAGTTTATGGAATTCTTCTGCCTCAAGCTTTTTCCAAGCGATCTTCATCGGCATTGAGAATCGCTTAGGCTTAAAGTAAGCATTTGCAATGAGTTCAACATGCGCGTCTTATTGCAGAATACCATTTTCTAAAAGACAAAAAGTTATATGTGTCAATTTTGAATTGAAGCAATTGCATCGTGCATATGTAATAACCATTCTTTTATCGATGACATATGCGAGCATTTGTGATGCTTGTTATCTGACTGTTAGATTTTTTGAATCGTATCATTCATAATTCGTTCGCAAAAGCATCATTGACATGAACGTTGGGCATGCACATGCACATACATGAAGTCCAATGTTTCGCCTTTTTTCTTGTTTCTTGACCTGCACCGTCGGGAAATTCAAATCACTCTCTCACTTCAGTATAAGTTTTTAGAAATGTGTTTGTTTTACAGCGTTTTCAAACCTTTCCTAAAAAAAAGCCGGGAAGGCATTTCTGGTTTTGTTGTTGAGAAATTTAGCTATTTTAGCAGCTAAGTTTAGCGCTCACAGCGGTTGCATCGTTATAGATAGATTTAACGATGGAAAATCTTTTCTATTGAGCTTTGCGTATGGTACCGTACAACTCAAGAAATAGTTAAAATGAAAATCGCAGGCCGATCCATCGCATCAGTAACTTAGTAAAGGGTTACTAGTGTTACTACGCAGCTTTGGTCTCATTGTTTCGTCATGTATCCACTTGCATCAGATCGTATCAGTCCCTTCTTTGTGCTGATAGTTTTCACCGGTTCAGTTCATGTAAACTTTGGTAAAAGGCACATTTGCTTTCAATACAAGAGTTGTTGTACTATATAAAATGACATTCGCATGATCAGAAAGGAGTTAGCGAGCGTCGAGCTTATAGACCCGTCATATTGATTACCTATGCTTCTTTCGACGCAATCTTATGTATTTTTGACTTTGGATTGAAATTGTTTTATTTGCCTCTGTTATTGGTGCGTTTATCTGATTATCTATGCAATCCTTGCGTTTTCTTTCATGGATAGCGACACGCTAATGAGCGTGTAAGCATGGATCCAAAGTTTGCAAGTTGTCGGTTGTGTTCTTCTTCGTCCTGTCCACAAAATAGCAGACCTGATTTTTTTTTTGAGTGGCGCATGTTATTAGCTGGCTTCTTCGATCACTTTTTTCTCTTTCATAGAATTTAGAATCCGTTCATGCGATTTAGTGTATAGTCTCTGACAGGACAGTAATTTCTAAGTGAAAACTCATTCCAGATGCAACCGCGAAGATCTGAGGGTTTGAAAACAGCGATTGCCTTTTGCTGTTTGATGCTTTCGGCTTTTCTCAACTTTTTTCTTCTCACTGTCATTCATGATGTCGTCCCACGTCAGCCGCTTCCTGATCTCACGTTCATGATCATTCCGCAACAGAAATGGGCTTGGTCAGTGGGCGACGTACTATCTACCGTTAGGTATGTGAATCTATACAAATCTGCTTATGCTTGTACAGCCTTTTCGTTTCTGGGATGTTGCGCAGTTCTTTTATTTACTTCTTATTCTTGAAGTGAATGTTTTAAGTCTAGTTGGAAGGAAAATGTTAGTGGTGTGTTTTGCCTTATTACTGTTTTCTTTACGAGCGTAGCGTAAGTTCAACATAAGTACCTAGTCCGTTAGCAAGTGGAAAATTTTGTTTGCCTTTTAGTAAAAAAGTTGAAATCCAATAATTATGTCGTATCATTCCGATTAATTTGCCTGTTTCAGCTCTGTTATGGCGTTTACAGTAGTACTTCTTCATCATGAGCGTTGGGTTGTTTTACGTCGAATGTTTCTTTTGGGTGCGATCATGTACGGGTTACGAGCTGTTGTTTTGGGTGTAAGTCTTTTTTTTCAGAAGTTTTCAATGAGCAAAACTTCTTTACCATTTCCTCTTGGTTATCATAATGGATCTTCTTTTCCACGTATAGAATTTAGGTAACTTTTCTCCCTCCATCCTTTCATGATCGCGATGAGATCTGTCTCTCGCAAGTGAATCGGTCGGCAATGTACGGGATGGAAATTGCGACGAGGTGAGTGTGTTTGCAAATTGAGATTTTGAGCTAGATAAAGAAGTTTTTTTGTTAATCTGAATGGTCTTTTTTGATTGAATTGGTGATCATTAACAGTACAGATGTACACATTGTCTACAACAGTTGTGCACATTTTTTGATCGTAATGGAGGACGCTGTGACTTGAAATATTCAAGAATAAAATTTTTTTTGATTCTCTTTCCAAATTCAATCTGAACTGGCACTCAATATGACGATTTTGAAAGTTGGTAGTTTTCAAACTTGAGTTCGACTTTACATATGTGTTTACATATCTGAAATCGAAGACTTTTCGCGCATGTTTTAACCAACTGTCCGGACAGGCTGGGAAGTTTGAAGCTTTTGAGGCTGTAGAAGTGTGTCCTGTTTAAAGGCAGCGTCCAGGCAAATCTGGACCTGAGGGGCTC